TGTCTCTTGCAAATCGACCTAAACGAAATATTTAGGATTTCATGTGGAGTTTGACGGAGGCCTGCAAATCCATAAAACATACCATGAACTTGCCGGAGATCCGGTGAATGACAGGGATTCTAGTGGCATATTGTTTATGTGTATTTTTTGTATATAACAGTTAAAGCAGTAGTTTAGAAAATTGAAACAATAAATCACTTTTTGTGTGTTTTGTAGTACCATGAGCGGTAGTTGATTGAAACAAACAACAGACATGCATGCAGACGTCAAGAAACCCTGATTCATCAGCTTTTATTGTCAGAGGGCCGATGACTTGATGGAAATATTGTATCATGCATTCTTCCGGAATTATCAGAAACATATTAACCTAAATCCAGTTTTTCCAGCTGATTCTGTTACTGAAATGTCCATCTGTTGAATAGATTTCTTTGAAGATAAAGAACACTGCTACCTTTCGACGAGTCATCACAAGTGCAGTAAGCCACCCATCACCGTAGTGTAAGAAGCAACTATCTGGTGACAGTTAAAGTAATGACTCCGCTTCGCTGAGGGTCCAGTTTCGCAGCTACGTGAACATCTACCACATATGATGGCAATTCGCTGCCGATGTGGAGAGCTGCAATGTTTTACGAAGCGTTACTCCACACCGGCATCCTGTTTTTATTCGCAGGCATTATAATTTTCACCTGGTACGTTCTTTATGAAAAAATTAAAGATAGTGATTTTTATTTGTATCCAAAGAAAGCGTGGTCTAGTCAGGTCAGGTCCTAGTTCAGGATTTGATAAGCTGTAACAAGCCATTCTTTCGCTACTTCGACAAAAACCAGCCTTGACCAACATCCATTATGAAAGAGGACGGTAATATCACATCTTGATTCTATATCTTTGAGATATGGGATTGAGATTTTGAATCGCTACTAAACGTTAGTATAGTTTTAAATCAAGATTCATTGTGCGATATTATGCCTTGACAAATGGATGTTGATGCTGGTCCACACTGACCCCTTGAAAAGTGATTGAAGCCGTAAGCCGAACGAAAAAGCTGCAAAAATTGATGAAATACAACCAGAATTAATTAAAGAATCTAGAATGAACGGATTGCTGGTATTTGGGAATCCATTTGAACTGATACGACAAAATGGAAATCCAAAATGTTGAGATATTCAAGATATTCAAGAAAGGCTGTTGCGCGGGACCAAGCACCTACCGAGGAATAATCATTCTGTCAGTTCCTGCTGAAAGGTTGATACATGTTATAGTAAACCGGATTAAACAACATCTTAAGATAGTTTTGGCTAAATAACTGTCTGAATTCAGATTTGGCAGAGTTTGTGTAGACAGATATTTTCATTGAAAAAGCATCGGAGAAGAGAAGTGAACAGGGATCGAAACTCTTTGCAATCTTTATTGACTTGGCCAAAACGTTTGACTCAGTCTCCATAGATGCCCTGGTGTAAAGTTGGTGAATCCAACCAAAAATCATTAGCATTATTGAGAATATGCATGATCCTTCGTCAAGTGCAGTGAGAATTGACGGTAGACTCAGCAGATGTCTTTACACAATGTTTAGGAGCAAGGCAAGGTAGAGTGGAATTTCCACTAATGTTTGCGAAGTTTCTTGACTGGCTGCTCCAGTCAGTAAGAAGAGGTGAAGCTATCGCGGGAAGAGTGGAAAAATCTGCGTAGATTCTTATATTTGCGGGTGATGTTACATTGTTTGCAAAAAATTTCGAAGCTGCGACATTACGGTTCCGAACTTTGAAGCAAAGGTGTTCTGATCTGGGTCACTTAATTAAATTAATGCAGACGAAGTGCATAGAAGTTGGTAGATCCATGACACCAAAATTGTGGAAAAAGTGCTAGAACACATGTACCTTGGGAGCACATTGGCTACTGATGAACGAGTGACAAACCTAAGTTACGACGCGCTGTGCGTCGGCACTAGCAGCGAGCATCAAGTCATTCAAACTCTGGAAGGACAAGGACGTTGGCAATAAGGCAATGCTGCGGATATACAGGTCTAGCATTCTGGACATCTTGTTCTTTAGCTTGGAGATGGCAGCATTTAACAAAGCTGAAAACTGGGAACAACGGAAATCGAGATTTTGTGATCAATATTAGAAGTGAAGTCGTCCGACCTGGTGTTCAGGACTGTTGTCAGAGAGGAATTGTAGTGACCGACTGACCGCAAACAAAACGCTTGAAACGGTGAGGCTGCTGGAAACAAATTGATGATGGCACCGTGCAAGGTGAGTTCTGCACACGAAGCCTGATGGCAGGCGGTTCCTCCCGGAACGCCTCCAAAAAGACTGGAAGACGTCGTTGGAACTGGGATGTCATCGAAAAACTGAAGGGTGCTCACGGATATATTCGATTCAGGTGGAATTCTTTTACGACACCCGGTGGCGATTCAATTTCAATGCAGCGGGACAAGAAAAGATTACCTCGCCTCCATGACCAATATGGCTCTGAGTGAGGTAGGCCTTTACTCTAAATCAGTCTTTACAAAAGCATGAGTAAATGACCGCATTTGAAACGCGACAACATTAATTAACCATGTGCCAAGCATAGAAGCCAACTAAATTATTTAACAGACAACAACACGTGACAGAAACTATTGTCCTTGTAAGCGTCATCCGCTTTCAGTCGACCAAACGAACTTCAACTGCTCATCGCCTTTTTCTTGACACTTTCTATCACCACGTTGACGTCAGTAGGGTTTACTCTGATAGGTTTTTTGTAAAATCTGATTGGCCCTCCAAGCTGAAAGGAGGCCACCTCGTTGAAGCTGGACGACTTTTCTTTCTTAGACAGTTGACCTCCGCTTTCTGACAGTCCTTGGCGTTTGGCAAATTTTCCTAGTTTACCGCATAGAAACAACGCCGGGGCGAGTACAATGACGAAAGCAACGCTGATCACAACAGGCAGTATCGCAGATGACGACGTCGACAATAAATCAGCAGACATTTCGTATGTCAAAACAAAACCGTAGCTCTGTAAGTTGAAAGTTTGCAGGCAAATCCGATTTAGGATACCAACTTACCTAGGATTTGAGCCGTGGCGCAAACACCGTCAGTGTCCGTCTCGCTTTTACGGGAAGACTGCTGTGTAAAACGAGATTGCTTAAATGTGACTGATAGCATTACGTTAAGATTTCTGCATCGTTTCAAGTAACCGAATGTTTAGTTTAAACAAGATGTCGAAGTATTGTTTAAAATGGGCAGTGTAACGTTGGCAAAGATAACAACGTCTTTATATACACTCCTAGCTTTGTCCCAAAAGAATGTTAAAGCAAAGCCTCAATAGCGCCCTTGATTGGAAGGGTGAAGAAAAACAAGCTAAAATAAACTATGCTTAATTTAAGTCGAAACCATTCAACGTTCGCACTCCTCTTCGCCAAGGCTGCGTCCTGTCCCCTATCCTGTTTGTGTTGTACATGGAGAGAATAGTCAGGAGCTGCCAAGGCGATGAGCGTATCGGCGTAGGAGATATGTGAAGTCGAGAAGGTTGCTGTTTGCAGACGACCTTGTTTTATTAGCATCTTCTGAAACTGATCTACAGTGCTGCTCCCTGTGAAGGTTCGCAGCCGAGTGCAAGGTGACCGGCATGCGTGTGAACGCATCGAAAAGAAAAACCTAGTGCCTTCTCGTTCTTGTGCCAGGTGTATTCTGCAGGTCAAAGGAGAAGCAGTAGAACAGGTAGTGCAGTTCACTTACATTTGGGTCGTGCAAGGTGGTGATTTAAAAAAAAGGGAGGAAGAGATCGACTGGTGCATTGGAATAACCATCAGCGTCCTGCGTGAACTATATGGAACTGTTGCGACTAAAGCATAGCTGAGTATGAAGACTTGGCTGTCGGTGTTCAAGTCGATTTTCGTCGCCATGCCAACGATTTGCAGTCGTGATTTTTGAGCCATGACCGGAAAACTTCAATGCCGGGGACAAGCGGCTGTCTGAGACGAATCGCTGGCCGACATAGTCCGGAGTACAGATATCTGAGAGAGCCTTGGTGTACGGCCGCCGTGCATTCAAACTGAGAAGTCACAGCGTCGATGGTTTGGGCACGCGTTGCTAATGCCTTCAGAAGAGAAGTCCAAACAGCTACTACTTGCCCAGCCGACCAGCAGAAGACCCCCGGGGACAATCAAGATCAACCTGGCGCAAATGTATCGAAGGACTCTTCTCTAGACTCTAGTTGTTTCCTGCTGAAGCACCAACGCTTGCACAGAATCGGGAACGTTGGAAGCACTGTCTGGCGTGTCTGTCGCCACGATTCTTAAGCACAAGCGGTCACCCAAATTGACTGATTGATACGCATAGCTCTTAGTTTCTGCTGACTCAACTGCAGTTTAAAACTGCAAGAAATGGACATTTTCCATTGTATGATGACGATTCTTACAATAACACCATATTGTCAAAATTATGCAATCATAATGCTCTTATTGGTGCTCTTTTTATACTGTCGTCTGGCTCAGGTCTCAAGATATATGGGCAGTGATGCAGCAGAAAAATTGCAAGCCCTGTACAAAGAAAAATCCAAAACGGTGGCTTGCTTACAGCCGGAAGGACCAATCAAACTTTACAATAAACCGAACTGAGGGCTGAATAAAAGTTTGCAATGGATGAAGGCAATCAATGTTTTAGAACGCTTCTTGCATATTGAAGGCACATGAAATTCAGCAATGCAAAGGAAACGCATTTGCTGCTTTATCATTAGTTAACTGATAGCGCATTCATCGTGGTTTCTTGAATCTATCATGACTTCGTTTGAAGAGTGTATTAACGACAAAACTGAAATGCGACCAGGTTGTAAAACAAGAGACTTGGAAGACGCTGTCTCTGCAAAGTTGATGGCGGGGGTTATATCCATGCGGTCTTGCTCGAGTATACTGAACCAATAATCTAGGACAAGCTATGAAATTCACTCTAGCTTTATGACTTACTCTATTTGCTTGTGACAGGATAGTAGGATGATACCCAAGTTTTAACAATAATAACGCAATATATTTCCCTAGCTCTTATCATTCAAGTGAAATAACTAATGTTAACTTTTGAAAAAAGATTGACAGAATGGAACCATGATGTTTTGGGGAGTTATCGATACCACCGCTGAATATATCAATAGTAAAAATAATAATGATACTGTGTTCAAACGATGATAATGATACTGGAGTTACTGTGATATATTCAGCGGCGGTATCGATAGCTCCCCAGAACATCGGGGTTCCATTCTGTCACTGATTCTCCTACGGACCATGGCAGTTTCTTGTTCGAGACGCGGTCCTGCGCCCTATGCACCACAGACGCTAGTACCATGGACCCATGGCCTACCTAAATGGCCCCTATGCGTCTAGAAGCAAGGGGGCGGTGCAATCAGCTACTGGTGTAAAGTGTGAAATTAATTTTTCTTTCTTTGCACCGCGCATTCGCCGTTCGAATCCTTATCATCATTATTTTTACTTACAATGTTAACTTTTCTCACTTCATTTTCTACCTTCCATGCACATATTTTGGACAATTGTCTATTTGTGTATAGGAGTGAAACATTAATCGAATCATCTAATAGCTGGTTCTCTCCGGTTTCCCTAAGGGTAGCTGAAATCTGAACGACTAGTTATACGCGGTAGAGTAAATGATTAGAGTATTAGAGAGTGAACATTTCAAACTTTGAATTGGAACGGTACGCAGCTTTCGATAACGAAGTTTTACGAACAAAACATCTATGGTTTATTGGACTAATAAGCAGATCTGGCGATGTGGGACGAACAGACAGTCGAGCTAAGGCGCCTGATGCGAACGTTAAATAGATACCATTAGAGGTGTTAACAGAGAAAGCAGGATAATGGCCCCGTAAGTTGACGTTCAATGCAGTGTGTAACTGCTCACCTTCCGAATCAACTAGCCTTGAAAATGAATGGGGCGTTCTACGCACAACTGACTGAAGTTAAAATGATTAGAAGCGATGATGTCCTATAAAATCAGTACGTGAGTCTTGTGCGAGCCATCGTTGGCGCAGATCATGGTGGTAATAGCGAATATTCGAGAGAACGCCAAGAATATTCAAGAATGAAGGCTGAAATAAAGAAGAGTGCACTATGAACAGCAATTTTACATCGGTCAGTAGATTCTAAGGTTTTATAATACGGGCCATTGCCTCGATTTGAAATCAGTGCATCTTTTAGCCAAAATAGATTTGCCTCAGCAGCGTCAAGATGTCCATCCATTCCTGATTGCCGTTACCACATCTTGGACTTCATGACCAATCTCCCTATTAAAAAAACCCTCAACTGCACTCTGATATGAAATTCTTTGCTTTAGCTCCTGTCCATAGATGCTAACTAACATGCGCCTTTTTGATAATCTAATTATACAACGTTGCGCTTAATAAATTGAATATTTTTGTATTATAGTCAATTTTTTGCAGCGGATGAGCATTACAGTGAAACGTCATCTATGATTGTCGTGGAGATGTTTCAAACATGCATCAACTCCCCCTTTTACGTAGATATGCATGATGCTCCATTGGTAAACTTTCAGTGATAGAGAATTTGTCCACATAAGCACGTCTGCTTCTTCTGGAAGAGCCCCGCTGGCGCTCTTGACAAAATAATAAACCATCTTGCACATACCGAATAAAGACTATAAGCAACCCATTCGTTTAGCAAAGAATTTTCAGCGAGAAATGCAGAAGTACCAGCGGTACCCTCTTCTGAACAAAAAATACGGTCGTTGCCGTTCCAGAAGGCTTAAAGCGTTGCACTTTTATGTTGAGGAAATGACACACTATCTGTGCTTACTGCTACACTGTTAGTCATTTATGATGTGCAACAATGGTGTCCTTTCGCTTTATTTTGTTTAAAGCCATCGCTCTGGTTAATGGGTACAGTCTTACCCATTTTAATGCTTTTCTTCCTCTTGGCCACTTTCGAAATACCAATACCAAGAAAGCTTGAATTCAATTATAGCTTTTATCGTCCGAGTTAGATTTTTTAAAAATTCATCACAAGTCAAGTTAGTTCTAGAAATAATAACTAGAATCACGTTTGTGCTACACAGACATATGGATAATGTCATCGATACCACTATCCCCATTTGAATGGGGTGTCACTGTGACTGAAAAACTTCTGCAGCCAATTAAGTTGGATAACATTTGCCTCATTTATTTGCATTTGATCGCTTTCTTCCGTTTTCTTTAACTTACTTTTATATCAACTACCGATGGTTAGCGAGGATAACGTCCGAAATAATGAAGATACGTGTCATTACACCAGGCTATACACCAATGTTACATCATGCCCTTGGTTCTAGACACGCAGGGGTACAATATAGGCAGGTGATGGCCCCATAGAATATGGGCACAGTCAGAGTATGGATCCAAATAGAGCATCATATTTCAGTTCGCACGACCAGGCACTGCCGCAAGCAACGTAGGTAACGGCTCAAGGAACTCGTGACACGCTAAAGCGTTTGAAAGTTTGGTAAATAATGAACTCTCATTGGTCTATACCAATATTGTCAGTCAGTCGGTAAAAACAACCACTTCTTAGAACGAGCTAT